CAAATCAGTTCAAATCAAATTATATATTCGAATCAGTTCGAATTGTATCAAATTATATATTCGAATCCGTTCGAATCGAATCAATTCAAATCGAATTCGAATCCGTTCGAATCAAATTATATATTCGAATCTGTTCGAATCCGTTCGAATCGGTTCGAATTCCATTGATTCGTTCGGAGCCTTACTAGTACTCATCTCAGGGTATGACCTGCAATGGTGAACCCATGTGACTCACTTAAATGTGTTTGTCAAAGTCCAGCATGTGAGAGAGTGGAACTCTTGCTGGTGACTCATGCTGGATGTATTGACCCTTCATGAAATGACCTCTCTCTTTTGTTAAGTTTATTATTTATTTTATTTAGAAGGAAATATTAAAAAATTAAATAAAGAAAAAAGGAGATAAAATTTGTTGATTGATTTGATTGATTACATTTTGCAATAATAATATAAGTAGCAACAAGTAGCAAACAACAGCAACGAAACATCATTTTTGAGGATGATAATAAAGATTAAGATCCAGTTTGTGTAGGAGTGATTGAAGTAAGTGTTAAGGACAAGATCTATGAAGCTTGCAAAATGTTTTTATCAATTATTCAATAGTTTGTGATCAAAGTAAGCTTTAAGGACAAGATCTATGAACAAAATATGCTAAATAACATTTTATCAATTATTCAATAGTTTGTATAGGAGTGATCAAATTAAGTGTTAAGGACAAGATCTATGAAGCTTGCAAAGCAAGTTTTACAAAAATGAACACTTTATCAGTCATTCAATAGTTATGTTTATGTATATAAATTTCTCTTTTATTTTAACTTATATTTAACAACATCACCATGATAAATAATTAAATGAATAAAGCCAGAGATAAAATACCTTTTAATTTAATCATTATTGTTGCTTGTTTATTGTTCTAATCATTATTTATGTAAAAGAAAAATTTTAATATCTTTTTATTTAAAATAAATGATTTTACTATAAAAGGCATACATAAGTAATCAAAAATCTGTAAATATTCATAATAATGTAATATTGGGGCATTTATTTCTAATTTTACATATATGAATATACAGATTATTTTCAGTTTTATTAACAACCTGCTTTAAAAATTTTCTTAAGCAGAAGATACATATGATAAGGAGGTTAATATCTCAAATTTGGTGGTGGTTGCTACACAGCAAGGGTATCAAACAAGGATGTGAAGACATTCGATTTTATTTTAATATATATTCTATTTTTTTATTTCAGATATTTTTTTTTTTTGTAAATACTAATTGACTATTGATATAATTCTTGCCTAAATAATTAGTTGTTTTTTGCTAATTCATAATTTACCTCATTAAATTAACATAAAATTGTTTTTCCTAATTTTCATTGAAACCTGCAATGTATTTTTGAAATTTTTACTTTAACGTTCATATACATTTGTTAAATTATTATCTAATTTTTGACAACTAGTTATTATTCAATCGATAGAAATTTTCTTTTAGCTCTGAATATTCATCATCAGGATTTTTTTGGTTAGCATTGCCAATCAATAATCACAAGTTTATAGTTTTATAAAAAGTACGAGAAGTATAACATTTTATCCTATATATTTCCTCAAATAAAAAAATTTCATGAATGTTTTCTTAGAATAAACTTATTCAATCAATATCCAGGCAAAGAAAAGGTTATATTTGAAAAAAAAACAAGAAAGCAATTAAACCAGTACTTGATTTAAAATCGTTCTTGATTAAATTACAACACGTAACATCAAGATTCGTACGTAGGGTCAAAGGATTTTTCTTCTAAATCAATTTTTCATTTCATCACTACATTAACATTAATCTCATACTTAACACTTCTTCTACATGCTACTCCCAAAAGATTTCTGAGATAATCCGTAACACTATTAATATATTTATTTACGTAGTCGGTCTTCAATGATAATGTTACGATCTACAAAAAAATCTGAATAATTTAATAAACTCTAATTAATATTAATGAATGAATATAATTTGTTGTATCAACAAACTTATCATATGGCATCATTCATTGATGATGATTCTTTAGAAGTAAAAATTTGATTTTAATAAAAGTAAAGCTTTATTGTGCGCAACGATGTCATTTTACATGTGCAAAAAAATAATTTTTCAGACACTTCACGTAAAACCAACATAGATAAAAAACAACAAATATTCTATAGCTTATATTAATAAAATGAAAATATACTTTTTTTTTTGGTTATAACAAACATACATATTAAAAAAAAAAGTATTGAAAGGAGTGAGAAAAATAATAATAATAATAAAAAGAGAGAGGGAGAAGGTATTGTAACGTAATGTATTACACCTTCAAATAATTTATCTACTGGAAAAAAAAAGAAAAAAAGAAAAACAGATAAGGGGAAAAATTGATATTATTGTTCATAGCATAATTTATATTATGTATTTATATTTATAATTATATTTATATATATATATATGTGTGTGTATGTGTGTGTGTAAAAAATTACATTAAATGTTATTTTTATTAATTATTATTATTAAATTTTTTTGTTGGGTGGTATTTGTTTGATTAAATGTTGATCTGCATCGGGATTGGTGTCGTCTACATCTAAAGACAAACCATAACTATTATTATTATTATTACTCGTAAAAGTGTTTGATTTTTATCGCCTAATGCTTACTTTACGCTTACTTTTTTAATACCATTGTCCGTTTCCACCGGTTGGATCATCTTTTCTACCACCTTTATACGAACCTAAATAATTTACTGCCGCTGGATTATTTTTAGTTTGACTACGAAGTCTAAAAAATTATTATTATATTAATTAAAAAAAAATAAAGCATAAAAAGTAGATTTAAATATAAATATACAATACGTAAATAACTTACAGTCTATCTGAAGTTACAACTCTATTATTATTATCTGTAACAGGTGCAGCAGTATCTTTATTACGCCTAGGAACTGATGTTAACCGTGATGAGCCACTTGCAATGGGTTGTGGTGTGGTAGATGTAGCAGCTCTTGTAGAACTGATACCGGTTCCATAAATTGGTTTATTTGTTGGACGGCGAGGTGTTGAAGGATCGTTAGCAAAATTTGAGGCAGTGACAGCTTGTCTATTATTAACAGCACGTTTTTGATTCTTGATATCTTCATCAATAACTTCACCAGCATTATTTGCATCTTCTGGCATTTGTAAAGGTGGATGAACTTTGTTAGCTTCTTTTTCCTATTGTTATTATTTATTTATTGTTTTTTTTTTAAAAAATAATTTTTTGGATGATTACTATAAATATTTGAATTATAATGGTTTTAAAAAAATTAGAGTAAAATACATACATATTTGAAAATTGTCCAATCGAATACATAATCGTATTGAAATCCTTCACGAACAAACAAATCTCGGAACAATTTTCTTAGATAGCTATAATCTGGTTTATCATCAAATCTAAGAGATCTTGTATAATTCAAATAGATAGCAAATTCATTAGGGAATGTGCGACAAAGAAGTTCTGTGGGAGTGGTCATTTTCTTTTCCATAATACGATCATATTTTTGTTTTTTTGTTGCGGCTTTAAGACCTTGCCATGGAAGTGATCCACGACAAAAATACATCATTACATAACCCAGTGACTCAAGGTCGTCACGACGAGATTGTTCTTTTAAGGAAATTTAAAAAAAAAATAAATATTTTCAAGCATAAATACGTATTTAAAAATAAAATAAAAATATTAAAACATACCAACTCCTAAATGAGTGTTAATACTTGCGTATCTAGCTGTGCCTGTTAAATTCTTATTTTCTCTATAAGGAATGTGTAAATGTGTTTTTGGATCGCGATATTTTTTGGCCAAGCCAAAATCGATCACATTAACTTGATTACCACGTTTACCAATTCCCATTAAGAAATTATCAGGCTTAATATCTCTATGAATGAAATTTTTTGAATGTATATATTCAATTCGAGAAATCTAAATCATTTTTAAAAATAAAACACATATTAATTATATGTGTGTAAATGTGTATATATGCAAATAATTAATTAACATACCAATTGATCGGCTAATAATAGTACAGTCTTTAATGAAAATTTGCGATTACAAAAATTGAACAAATCCTCTAATGATGGACCCAATAAATCAATCACCATAGCATTATAATCGCATTCAGTACCGTACCAGCGGACAAATGGAATGCCCACGCCACCAGCAAGAGTTTTATAAACTTTTGCTTCATATTCTAATTGTGGATGTTTAGCCTTTGTAGATTCAAGTTTTATAGCAACTTCTTCGCCATTAATAATATTTGTTCCTAATTAATAACAAAACGATATTAATTATAGTGGAAAAAAATAATACTAAATCTAAATTAAATGTTGAAATAACAATAACAATAAACATCGAATATTTTAAATCTATACATACCAAGATAAATTTCACCAAAAGAACCTGAACCGATCTTTCTTCCTATACGATATTTATTACCTACCCTTAAATCCATAGCCATATTTGCAAATATATATATATTTATTTCTTTTATTAATAGAAAAATTTTTTTTAAAGAGTTAGATGATGTTGGAAAATAATAGTTTAAAAATATATAATTTTGAATTTAATATTTGTTATTATCTATAAAATATCAATAAAAATTATTACCTTTATTAAATAAATTTTTTTATTCTAAATTCTAAATGAATCCAAGTAATGATGAACTTGTTAAATAAAGTTTTTTCTACCAGCTGGAAAAATTGAAAGGAATTTTGGGTAGGTCAACAACACTGACTTCTCTCTTTTCTCTCTTTATATATTAATATTGTATTATTAGATGACTAAACAACTATCTGAAAAATGTCTAATTTTTTTTTTAATTTTTAATTTTTAAGAAAAATATATAAAAAAAATTAAATACATATATTAGTATTATTTACTATTATTATAAAAAAGTTGAAAAACTTCAAAGGAAGGTGTTTTTAAAGGGGTATTAATAATAATAATATGATTATTATGAAAATTTTTGGGGTTTCGGTATAAGAGAGTTGATATATATAATATAGAAAATTTTTGGGGGATAATCCACCCAACTATTTGGGGTAATATATATGAGTCATCGATATATATATATATATTACAAATACACACAATATATTATGTATATTTAAGATCAGCTGACTTAATAAAGAGTTTATTTTATATTAAAAAAACAATCAATAAATTTCTTTTTGTTTGACAAACATTAATATTATTTATTAATAAATTATATGTATATATAATTTTATTTGCCACATTTACAACAAATTCTTGTTCTTTTCGACATTATTTATTATAGATTAAAATTTTTTCACATTTTCCCAACAATATATACATTGAATACTAAATCAAGTAAACCCCCATTTGTAATACATGAAACTTAAATAGAATTTTTATAGTGCAGCAAGCTCTTTCAAGGTTAAAAAAATTTAATGCACAATGATAATCTTGGGAGCACATTTTTAAGCGCACAATAAGCCTTTCTATATTTTTTGTATATAATAAAGATAATTTTATTCTATATTTTAAGAATTACAGATTGAAGGGAATATGAAAAAAATTTCTTCTTAGTATTTATATTTCGTTGAGTAATCTTTTGGCGATACTACTAATCCTCGACCTTTCCTTGCACCACGATACACTGTTTCTATTATATCTATAAGTTCTTGTTTGTCCTCCAATGCCTAATCATATAAATTACATTTAGGCAAAACATCATCAGCCAAATCTTTTAACAAACATAATAATAATATTTATTATTTACTGACCCAATTAATCTTGTTATTATTACCAGTTCCTAAATCAATCATTATATGTTTATTTCGAAAGAAAAACATAACTGTGCACGGATCGTAAAGTTCGTACATCTAAAGATTGAAATTTTGAAATAATTAGTATATAAACATATTTATGTACATATATGTATTATCTAAATCCTATAGCTATACCTTATTAAAATCAGGAACTTCTGTGATATCAACCTACCAAAAAATATTATTTATTAAAAACTTCCAATCATCTTGCAAATAAATATAAAATAATTTATTTACCAAGTATATCACTGCAAAATTCTTCACTTTTTCAGCAATGCCATACAAAGTTTCATCCATTTTCATACAAGTAGGATCCTAATGTCAAAGAAGTATTGTTAATATTAATATTCGGTAGTAAAGATTAATGTTTCATAATTATTGACTATTTACCCAATCATGTCCAAAGCGAATAACCACAACTCTATCTTCTTCAGATAAGATTGCTTGATCCACTTGCCATCCTAAAATTTATCAAATCATTAAATTAAACAAACTATACACATATTACACATCAAATAAAAAAATTAAGTAAATCTACCATTTGTTAAATGCGGAAGAAAATAAGACATTTTTACTTGTTAAAAAAATAAATTTAGTTTTTATATTTATATTTATTACTCCATTGTAGTACAAATATCCGCAATGATCACATGACAATAACATTAATAGAAAAATCAAAATAATTCTTTGACTAAAAAATAATAATGACTAACTCGGGGCCTATTATTACTTCAAAACATCTTGAAACATTAAAGAAATACTTAGAAAAAGATACTATCGAAAGAGGCTACGTTTACTATGTAAGTTTTATTATAATGGGGCTTTCTGATTAGAAATAAACAGTCATCTCAATCAATTAATTATTGAATTAACTTTATCAAGCATCAAAAAGTAAATATTGAGTTAGATATAGTTGACCAGTTTATAAAGGTAATTTAATTTATTTGCATAGTTCATATACACTATGAATTAGAGAAGAAGAATTACACGACTTGAATAATTAAATTGTGGTTATTTAGGGTTATACTGAAATTCATCTTAAACCAATTCGATTTGATATCCATGAGATAAAACTTAATTGTCGTCAATGTGGTAAAGTGTATTTATCATAATAAACTTTGATAGTCATAATAATACCTTAATTAAAATTCCAAAAAACAAATCAACAATAGTAATAAATGAAATCAAATTAAATGGAGTCAAGGCATTATATGAGATAAATAAAAAAATAGATTCTGGTGTTGAAGGTGAAATTATTATTCAAATTCCAGATGAAATGTTGAATATTCCCATATTAGATGAGGTAAAATATATAGTGTGTGTGTATGTGTGTGTGTGTGTGTGTGTGTGTGTGTGTATAATACTAAATATGTTATATGTGAATTAATGATGTTTAATTTTTTTTTTAGGGCGGTGAATGGATTCCTATAATTGTAAATGTTGATTTTACACTAGAAAAACCCAAATCTGGTATTTATTTCAAACAACCAGATTCAAATATTCCAAATAAACCTAATGAATTTTATGAACCAAATGCAAGTATAATTCAATCATTCTTGAATAAAATAAAATTCTACTCTAATCAAATTAATTATATAAAAAAATATTGTCAATTGGCAGGATGAACCATTTGTTTATACAATACATAGACCAATTCCTGGTGCAACGAGATGTTGGCTTCCTTGTCTTGATCGTTATCAGGATAAATGTACTTGGGATTTTTTCATCACCGTATCAGATATTGAAAATTTCGATAGAATGATGGTAGTTACCAGCGGAAATTTATTAGAGATTGTAAGGAATATATTTATTATTATCCAAAAAGTTTATTATTATTTAATATTAATATCCTTGCCATATATACACACACACATGTACACATAAATTTGTATAGATTGAATCACCTAATAATCACCATAATAAGAGATTGTTTCATTATAGGCTGCCTGTGCCAATTCAAGCTCAACATATTGGATTAGTTTGTGGACCTTTTCGTTCTCCTTACATTTTACATTATCCAGGTGAAAACGATCTACCAGAAAATAGACCACTTATTACTGCTTATTTCCCTTCAAGATTGGAAGAATGGATTAGACCGACACTTTATCCTAATCAGGAGGGTGCTGATACTTTTTGGATACATTGGGTATACATACAAATCACACATACATCCACATCAATAAAAAAAACTTTTACCTCGTTAATTTATTTCTACTTACCAAAAGTTGCCTATTTTAAGGCATTTGATTATTTTATCGAAGGGTATTCTCATTTTAAGATCCATCCCGAGTTTGACAAACGAAACCCGAAAGTTAAACCTGGAAAATTTCCATTCAATTGTTTTCATATAGTATTTGTTGAAAATGCTTATAATGATATTACAGTATGTGCTGGGATGGTAATATGTCGGTATGTATATTTATACATCTAATGCTTTTTTGAATAGAATTCAACCGTCAATAGTAATAGTTATTTCAATCATAACATCAATATATAGTACAAGTTTATTATATAATGAGCATATAATAGAACAAGTATTTGTCACGAGGCGTCTTTTAATAAATGCAATAGCTCAGCAATGGTTTGGAATTTTTATTCCTCCTCATTCATGGTAAAAATTTTTTTTTGTAAAATTTTGTCATTTTAAAAAAATATTAATTTAATTATTAATTTTTTTGTCATAATTTTTTGCCTTTTAGGCGTGACTTTTGGCTTGCAATCGGTTTATCAAATTATTTTACAACCATGTATCTTGAAAAAATATTTGGCGAACAAGAAATTCAATTATCACGCAAACTTGTAAGTTAAAATTATAATTATTAATTAAAAAAATAACCTGAATATTATTAAATTTATACATATATACATACATATTTAGGATATTGATAAATTATGCAATCTTGATGTAAACCAACCACCATTATGTTCATATGGTTATGAGACACCAATTGAAACAAGAGAATTGGAGTTTCTAAATTTAAAAGCTCCACTTGTTCTTTGGATGCTTAACAATAGATTGCCATTTTTTGATTATCATCGTGGAATACTTGGAATTATTTATTTGATATTGAATCGTGCTAAGGAAACATCCTACCATAACTTTAGACCTGGTTATCTGGAAACCAAAGAATTTTTCAATTTGTGTAAAGATGTTATTCGCCAAGAACTCCGTGATGAAATCAAACAATTTAAAAAACAATGGATATACGGGTCTGGTTGTCCTATTTTTAAAATCAATGCTAATTTCAACAGGAAAAAGATGACGGTTGAATTTAAATTTGTACAACAAAATTCGAATTTAGTTCATTCTGATTTAGAAAAGAAAAAATCAAATGATAAAAAATCAACAACTACACATGCCGATGATCACAAAAAGCATACTTCCTTATTCACTGTATGACTATTATATATAATCCATAGATGATCTTAATATTTGTTTAATATAGAGTATTAAATATGATTGAAAATTTTTAAATAGGGACAGATGGATATTGCTATTAATGAACCCGATGGTGTAGAATATATTCATACTATCTATATTCGAGAGAAGACTGAAACATTTTCACTTCCATATCATACCAAATATAAACGGTCCAAGATAACTCTTAAACCTAGATTTGTAAGGAAAAGAGGAACATTTGATTCCTATGTTCCGCTCGAATTAATAGAAGAACAATCTAGAATTTATCCTGTTCTTTGGGGAATGGATCCAGAAATTAATGAAAGAGATGAATGGAAAATTATTGAATGGGCTGATCCGTCTCGTCAACAGAGCACTAGGTATCGATGATATATATATATATTCTGGGGGGGTTATTTTTTTAAAAAATATTTTTTTTTCGAAATCGAATCTTTTTTTTTTCAATGTAGTGATCATTGGGATTGGATACTTATTGATCGTGCTTTTAGTTGGATTGGCAAATTCGATTTTGAACAGCCCGATTACATGTGGGCTTCTCAACTAGAATCAGAAGGCTCTGTTGCAGCACAATACGAAGTAATCATCTTTACTTAAAATATAAATAAATATACAGATACGGGGCGAGTTCAATAGAAAGGGTAGTTTGTCATTTTATCGATTTCGAGTTAATGTCATATCTGTGATATTTTCTTTTAAAGTTTTATAATAACACTAGTAATTTCCTTCAAAAACAGATATTTTTTGTCGATTTTTTCAATCCGATTTGACAACTCCTTTCTATTGAGCTCATCTCACATACATACATATTTTTTAATTTATCATATCATATCATATATATATATATATAGGCTATTAAAGCATTGGAAAAAAGTCCTTCGGCTGCATGCTCTACAACGTTATTAAGAACATTACGAGATTGGAGGTATCATTACAGATGTCGTACGAGTGCCGCAATGGCAATGGCAAAAGTTTGTATTTATTGTGTATAGTTTGTATTGAAATCGATAATAAAATATTTTAATTTCATTCATCAATTGTTTTAGTGCGCAACAAATGAACTTAATTATATAGGTTTACATCAATTACTGAAAACTTACGAATATGATTATTGTGAACGCGTGGATGATCAAATCATACCGAAAACGAATAATTTTTCGGATTGGGAGGAGTATTTTGTCCAGAAGGTGTGATATTACTTTGGAATTAATTGTTGTTCAAAGTGGTGTATACATATGCATACACAATTTCTCACCAAAGTTTATATATAAATATCTTTAAAAGTCGATTCCAATTGCTCTTTCAAATATAAGACAAACAGGTGGTGTTACTCCAGTTGATGTAAAAGAAACTTTAGTTGATATGTTAAATTGGAACGATAATTCAGAGAATCCGGTTTTTATTTGATTTTTATTTTTGTTTAATGTATACTTGAATGTATTAATTAATTTTGGTATTTGCATACAGTATGCCGATGATTATCTTGTGGCAACGTATATCGAATCACTAGGATATTCATTCGTGCAATTTGAAGAAGAGTCTGATCAAGGTGTTGAAATTTTCGATTTAGCAGGTGATTCTAATGCTTATTTAAAAGAAACGTTGGAAATTCTTAATAGATACAAATTTCGTAATGATTTATTCAATTCGTATCACTCAGTTATACTATCATCAATTATAATGGTAGGTTTTTTTTGTTAACATTTCATTGGTTTTTTTTTATTTGAATAATATGTTAATAATATATTAATATATTGATTATATAGGCAAAAGCAAGATTGATGATGAGCCAAGTGATCAATGTTGATGGAAAAGAACTTTTGGTTTATACAATGTAAATTGGGTTTTTTTAAAAAAATATTTTATTTTACAATATCAATAAATATTAAATGATTCAATTGATTAATAGATATGATAATTATATAAATGTTCGAATAACAGCGCTAAAAGCAATCATTGATTTAGAACTTCACAAGAAACCAGAGGTAATGTCATATATTAATCAACTTATTGAAACTGATCCTGATCTTGGTGTTAGGAAATTTCTACAATATAGATTTGGATCAGATTTTGGACCATATTGTTGGGATCTTCCGATCAAAAAACGAACATATCCATTGCTAAAAATAAAGTTATAAATGGGGTTTTTTAAAAATATTATTATTAATCATTGTTGTAAAATATATATAACAGTTTTTAAATAAAATATATATACAAATTAGAAGTAATTTATTAGATAGATAGATATTATTTGTTTTATAATATGCATCATCATCAATAGTGACAGCTCACATAATTAATATTTTAAAAAAGTTAGTTCTTCTCGTCCTGAAACAGGACCCAGAATTTCTCCCAGAAAATTCAAGGCCAAGGAAAGTTTTTAATATCTTCAGGCAAAAGAATGAAAAAAAGTTTTTTTTAATCCATTGTCATTATTATTATCAGTTATGATTTTCTTGTGGTGTTAGTGCATAATTATTATTATATAAAAGTATATCTTATAAAAAATACAATTTTAATGAATTTAATTTATATAGAAAAAAAATCCATTATTAATAATTAAAGATAATTTCTACGAGAATTAATCAAAAAAAATGTGTATTAAAAAAAAAAAAATAAAGTAAATCAAATATTAATTATAAATTAAAGAGCAAATTAAAAAAAATTTTTTTTTTTTTGCCTAAATCTAAAGCTTCTCTACTCAAAAATCATTCATCCATTATCTTAAAATTCAATCAACAATAATAACAATGATAATATTGACTTTAATTAATAAATTAGATGATGAATTTGAATTTATTGCGTATAGGAAGAAGGAAGGAAGGAAGGATGGAAGGATGAGGAAAGGGTGAGGGAAGGAACAAATTAAAATAAAATAAAATAAAAAATAATAAAATAATATTGTATATTTTTTTAAATATAAATATAAATAATTATAATTATTATAATTATAATTATTAAAACTACAAATATATAAAAATAAAATTTTCCAAAAATTTTACAGCACCAAACATTTACGTGATTTTTTAGTTACTGGTGGCTCCAAAGCAGCAACAATTGCTTCATCAAAAACATTTTTCAAACCCTTTTGTGTCAAAGCCGAGCACTCGACATATTTTACAGCACCTAATTCTCTGGCAAGTCTTTCTCCTTGTTCAGAAGTTACAGGTCTCATCTTTTGTCTTGATAATCTTTCAACCACTCCAGGGTCATCACGCAAATCTACTTGAGTACCAACAATTAAACATGGAACTCCTGGACAATGATGATGAACCTCCGGAAACCATTTTTCTTTAACATTTTCAAATGAAGCTGGCGAAGTTACAGAAAAACAAACAAGAAAAACATCTGTTTGAGGATAAGAAAGTGGACGAAGGCGATCATAATCCTCTTGACCTATAAAATTATACACACACACACACACATATATATATTAATTATATTAATTAGAAATATAGATTATCGTTATCAATATCATTATTATGATTTCTATTAAAATTTTTTTTTTTTTTAATAACTTTTTTTCCAAGAAAAAAAATCATTTTTTAATTTTTAAACTATAACCATTACGAACCAGCTGTATCAAATAATCCCAATGTGTATGGTTCATCTCCAATCATCACTGTCACTGCATAATTGTCAAAAACCTACAATATATTTTAATAATAAATAACATTAGAGATTAATATAATGTAAAAATAATAATTTTTAGATAATGAATTGATTAATGGTTTATTAATAGATTAACAGATTGATCGATTGAAAAAGATTACTTACTGTAGGGACATACTCGGAAGGGAACTTGTTTGTTGTATACGAGATTAATAGACAAGTCTAATAATCAAATGAAAAAGAAGAGAGAGAATATAAATATCAATATACGATTTGTAATCTTTAGTAATAATAATATTTTATTTCATTTAATCGTTTCTCATCAATCATTAAATTCTTTAATCTACACCAATTTAAAGTCCTTTTTTTTTGTAAACTATAATTATGTTGAAGTAATTATTACAAGTTATATTAACACCGTATAATCCAATTGCCTCGTATAAAATTATTTAAGGTCAATCTGATTGTAAAATAAAGTTTCCTTAAAATCCAACTCAACGATTTAAATTGTTTGATCAACACAAAAAAGTATTCCTTAACCATTTAATAAATACTTTCTAAATAGCACTGCTGGTATAAATATAATCAAATATTCTATATAAATGTACACACCTTGCCAACAGCACCATCACCCACAACTACACACTTTATAGTTTGCATGCTTATAAATTTATTATTATGTTAAATAAATATATATGTATATTTATTTATATATGAAAGATTTGTATATATAGGGTACTCAACAGACACTTGAGGAAATAAAAAAAATATATATGTGTTATGTTATAGATATTATTTTTAATTTAAAAAAAAAATTTTTTTAAAGTTAAAAAATAATAAATAAAAGAAAGGTAAATAAGAAAAGGTAGAATTTATTTAAAAAAAGACAGTTGAAGTGGGGAAGGGGTTGGTTGAGCTGTCTTAGGTATTTGTCCTTCCAAAATTTAATTTTATAATTCAAATATTACCTAGCCCGCTCTCTTTATTATCACGTAATAAATAAATTTCGAAAAAGGGGTTTTTACGAAAATTTAAAGGAAAGACTAGGAAAACTAATTTTATCCTTTCACTTTTTTTTTTTTAAAAAAAATTTTTCTAATCTCCTTCCCCCATGAATTAAAAAAAATTTATATCATGTGAAATTATTAAGGGCCTGCATAAGGATTTGACGAAACAGACAGGACCCAAACCCAGTCAAAGTTTGACCCACACCGTGATTGGCTAGGCTAGTTGGAGAAAATTACCAAGTTTGGTAATTTTTCTCAAACACGCAATTTAAAAAAATTTTTTTATGAAACTTGGGGTAGAAAATACACAAGTGACCTGCCTCTAAAATTTTTTCTTCCGTTGCACTCTTCTGATTAACAAAACCTGGCTATATATAATAATAGGAGTCTGCAAGTACAACGACCTATTCTATTTTTATTTACAACATTTACATAATCTAGAATCTACCACTTCCTTCATATTCCTTTTGGCGGTCATCCTCAAAGACCATAGTAATAGGCTGTGCGATTTTTTATCAGGTCCAAAAGTTGTATTTCTCGTTTTCCACATGGACCTAAATTTACCCTATTAGCAATAAGAGCATCTTTTTTATAAGAGCCATGATTTGTGGAATTATCAAATGCAAAAAAAGGCTTCAAAAATTACCTTGCCTCTTTAAGGACATATATAGATTATCTTGAATATTTGGCCTGCTAAATGAGAATGATTTATTTGACAACCAATGCAAAGTTCAATATCTTATTGTTATAATCTCTTATCTGGTGCAAAATCAATAAAAGATATTCTTGTAGCTTTTGAACTAGCATTCAAGTATTCGGATACAGCACGATTTTTATTGTTATCAGTTAAATTTTGTTCAATTCAAGGTAACTTAATGAATTAATTACTATGCTTTTTACTGGTTTTTATTTTTCAATCTCTATTTCTAACGACTAGTATCAAGTTATAAAACTTGTATCAACATATTAAATCATTGATAGAAAATAAAGAGTGCCTTGGACCCCGCGAAAAAAGTCTTGGCTCCAAAATCAATTCTACATGGGTAAAAATTTTAGAATATGGTTATATTGCTAATGATAGGCAAAGATTGATTAAAACGTTATATAAATTACTTTGCATAGCAGTGTTATTAAAATTAGAAGATTGAAATAAAAAGATAAAATATCTTTTTCTAAATTACAATAATGCAATTAATAGTCACTAATTTTAATAATTTAATTAATTTCTCAAGTACCAAGCACTGCATTTGATTATTTATCACGAGCCGGAATCAATTTAACAAACATTATTATTATTAGTAGACCCCCCTAAGTGTGCCACCCCCGTGTGCGTTTAAGGAAACAAACATTTTATTGGTTGCACGTGACACCAATTAAATTATTATTTGCGGGAAAGAATTAACAGTGAAAAGCCAGAATTTATTGAAAGAATTATTTGTTTGAAAAAATCAAAGCTCTAGAAGATGCTTTATTATCAGATTTTGATATTCAACAAAACATTGCTACTTCTGCTAACGATGTTGTGAAATTATCTGATCCTTTGCAAACATTGTTAAACCAAAAAATTCCTTAATTTAGTTTTATTGATAATAGTAGATAAATGTGCATTTATGTGACCCAAATTTACGAAAAAGGAGATTAATAATTACAGTCGGCGCTCGATAGAACTATCTATATAGTGTGATTCATTATATCAAAAGATCGACAAAAAACCCCGCACAACTTTATTAAAAATAAATATAAAGTAATTATTTAGTAATCCAACTATCTGGTGTGCTTGCTTTATTTTTTCTAAAGAACAGTATGGTTAGATATGTGGCTTTTTAAATGCTTTCATTGAATTAATCCAAAAGTAAGATTTTCAGGTGAATCTTGAATATAAGAAGGACAGTCAATTTCTAAAGATTCTAATACTCTTTTTGTAGTTTAACAATTGATAATTCATCTTCTGTCTCAGCCAGATTCAGCTGTCGGTCTTATACAATCAATAATTCTTTGCTTTAACAAGAATTATATTACTCTTTTACCTGAAAGTGCTTATTGAACCATCAAGATATTTTGCAGCTTTATCATTTTTGTCTGTTGGTATCATTAGGATTGATGGAATAGTATATATCTTTATCTTTTAAAATGCTGTAAATAGTAGTCCGAATTTTTGGCCAAGTTCTTTCCTTATATTAACTGATATGTGAATGGTGGATTTCTTCCATTTTAAGTTCACAAAGTTGTTTTTTCTCGCCCCAAGACAAAATCTTCTTTTTTTGAAAATAATTTTAGCTGAAATAATTTTCTGATAAATTATTATAAAACAACAAAATTACGCTTCCTAGTTCTTTTATTTAAATCCAATTACTTTGTTTTTCGCAACACGTTATTAAATTCAATTTATTTTTCGTGCGATACATTATTAAGTAATGATCGACAAAAATTTCAATAGTTTACCAAGTAAAATTTTCATTATATGATTATATCGAGAGTCTATATCGAAAATCACTATATCGAGCAGAATTTATATATAATATCCCCCAACTTCGTTATATCGTACGGTTCACTATACAGAGCACTGACTGTAACAATAGAGTCCCGGAAGCTTGATATTAAGAAATTTTCACCAATTGGGATTTATTTAAGTTCCAAGAGTTGTTCAGCTTAGCCGACCAAGATTTTTCTGCAGGCTTACACCGCTAGCAATGTAATTTATTTAATAAATATTTTATGAATTTAAGAATAAAACGAAATAACAGCATAAGGAGCAAGTAGAAAAGAAAGGTTGCAGGATAAATGTTCTTATTTGCTCAAATCTATAGCCAATATTCCATTAGAAAAGTTCTTGACGTAAACGAATGTTTCTATGGTGGATCGTTAATCACATGTCCAATTATTAATGACTAGTATTAAAAAATTGAAATCTAATCTTAATATTGTTTCAGGGATGTGTGCTTATGAGCCTCGTCGTACTCTTTGTTTTTTTTCCTTGTATATAGTAGATGGTGTAATTTTTTATAAATAGGTAAAGTTAATCTTGGTCTAGCCCCCATCAAGTTACTCATTTGAGCGGCCCCATTCAGGTATGGTCTCGGACAATTTATGCTTTAATATCGAAAGAATCAATTTTTTTGAACTCGCCGGCTTAATATAGCCAATACCCTCTTTATCATAATATTTGAATAAAATAAAAATTTTGGAACCAAATAAGAATTATGTTTCGGATTTTTTAAATCCCCAAAAAAGAGGGTCACGGACTGGTTAACAACAACAATAACAACCAAGATTGATGTTGTTGCATTTTCTAATACAGTTTTCGAATTTTGAATATTCAATCGGTGTCAAGCACACATATTGTTAATGATGAGGCAAAAACATTTGACAACGTTTAAATTCATCGCGTACAATTTAATAAATTTAAAATTTAAATAAATAAAATGAAATTGATGGATGGTATTAAATAAATGATACCTTTGATAATTTGTTATTTTTCAATTCGACATCTGGGAATTGGCACGATCATTAATTATAAAGTTATGATAACCAAAACGAATACGGCGTTTTTCATAACATCATCATGCTCTAGCATTATTTATAATATTTGACGAAAATAAGGTATATTTATTTATTGTTATGGGACATTTATCTGTCTGTGTATTAGTATTAGTATCTATATCAGGAAGACTCATTCACGTGACTTGTTTTTCTAACAAATGGCTGAAAGAAGACGAATTATTTATCATACATACTATGTACTTACTATTAATACTATTGGTCTTATTTTATTTAACTCTTGTTGGATTTAAATTTTATAAAGATATTTTCCGATCTGTAATTTTCAGTGATATTGATAAAGGTGACGATGGTTCTGAATCGAATTTCTATTAATGTTTAATTAATATTTGGCTCGTTTTTTTAGCTAGTTTCTTAATTGATATTTTTATTTAATCACGCGTATTAACTAGTTACTTATAATAAAGGGTTCTTTAATTAAAAGGTTTGACCACCCCACCACTCTTACAATGAATGTAATAGGAACGCGTATAAACAAACAAAAAAATTAAATATCATGTGATCCATGCACGCATCGAATTGATAGATTATAAATTATATGTATCTATTGTAAATTATAATATTTATAATCTTGGAGGAATGATGTCGTGACGAAAATGTACTGCACACAAAGACCATTCAATAATTGTTGAAAAATTATATTTGAATCATTATTCTGTTGTTCAAGATTGACTGTTATAATATGATGGATAAGTGGGTACATATAGTAAGATCACCCTCCCAATAAAAACATCAAATGATTTTATCTTCTAACCCAACAGTTTGTCCGTGTATTTATTCGTCACCATTTTATTAGCAAGCTTCTCTGACAGCTTTTTGCCAACACTCATCCAACTTCAAATAAAAACCCTGTTTGATCTCGTTATGCCCCATTCAGGTAATCTATGAGCAATCTCGATCACTAAATGAACAAATGCTGCGTACTCACAAGATGTAAATCATATTAATATTATTATTATACTTACATATGTATATTAATACATTAATTATGTTTCCATGTCAAAACCCCCCAGGATTTATAATATTCAATACCATAATCTTATTTTATTATCGTCAGTCAACAACACCAAAAAAATCATAAATCCAAGATATCCAAGATAACAGTTTAAGCTATAATCATCTTTAAGATGTCCCAGGAAAACTGTCGTGAGAATTGTTGGCCAAAGGAATATTTGAATGAAGGTTAGATGTGAGTCAGTCAGTATTATGGATGATTTATTAACAACAACAGTCGATTTGTAATGTATATAATGATTTGATGGATGGATGGGGGTGGGGGTGGAGATAAAGATATAATAAAAATAAGAATGTTAGATGAATTGGATCTATTATATACCTTTTGATAAATGAATGCTACTACTGATGTTGATGTTTGATACGTAACAGTTTCGAAAAGATAATGTGAATTGTCTGCCCTCCTGTCGAGAATGTCACTCATTTGTTATTATTATATCTCGTAATTAGTCAAAGTGGATTTCTTTGTACACGTTGGTTAAACCTTTCCGCATTCTTACAATTTATCATAATTGACATTGTAAAATTGTTTTTTCGGGAATTAACCAACTTCTTTTAAAAACTTTTTTAATCAAGGTTTCAGAAGCCTTCAGGGAAAATAAATTTTTGAAAAAAGTGGGTCTCTCACACTATTAATCAATATGAGCAAGCGGTGGCTTATGTAATTAATTAAATTGTTTGTTTCAATTATACTCGTGCAAATATGTGCAGTAATTATTTTTCTTTCTCATCACTCTTTTTATCTACACACAAATCATTTCCTCATTTTGCAAAAAATCTCATTAACTTTTACTAATTTTGGATTTAAGCACAATATAAATTCACTATTTATTTCTTCTTGATGAAGAAAGATCTACTACTTTTTTTAAAATTTTAAGAATGAAGGATCTACACACTAATAATAATAATATTAAAAAAAAAGAACAATTTAACTAATTTTTTATAATTAATATATATATATTGAAGAGACAACTATTAAATATGCTTCAACAATTCAACGAAAATTATATCGTGTCAACTGAAGCTTCCCAGAGTCCTCCTCTCCCTCCTCTCCTTGCTACAGGTAATACAGGTAAGTAAGCCTTTCTCTTTCTCCTTCCTTCTTATCTTTCTTTTGAATTTTATGGAAATGGAAAAGATTTTGTTTTTTAAAACACGAGAAAGATGGGAAATATGCGTGTCTAAAGTGAGAAGATAGACTTTTTAAACGTGACTGAAAAAAATTTTTCGTAACAAAATAATTATATATGCATAAAATGCATACGATTAATATTCATAATATAATGATGATTTATTCTATTAATCCAAGACTATTATTTTTATCTTTATTTAATTTTTATAAATATTACATGATTAGAATCAACTATATCTAGTTCTTCTGAACCTTCTTTACAACAGCATCAACAACCCCTTCTATCACATCCATTTCCACAATCACCTGCTCCTCAACCGCCAATCTTTTCTTCCTCGCCACTACTCGCTTGTTATGATTTTCGTGACATAATTGCGCCATCACAACTACCACAGGGCGAACATCTAGATATTACGGAATTTAAACAATACGATAGAGAAAAATATGAAAGTTCTAAAACTGGTGTTAATAATTGTAATAGGAGACGAAGAAAACAAACACAAATACGTGTCGAAGATTGTGATACTGCTTCTTCGTTGGATGGATATGACGATGATGATATCAGTAACAATATTAATATCAATAAGTGAGCACTAAAAATTTTTATTATTTAATAAAGAAATTTAACATATGAGAGAGTAACTTTGTCACGTTTTTGGAAATTAACAATTGTGTTGCTTTTAGTCAATCAACACATGCTGAAATACGTCGTCAAATGCATATTCAATCTGAACAGAAAAGACGTGCAGAAATCAAAGATGGATTTGAAGACCTTCGACGTCTTTTACCAATTTTTAACCATAGTCGTAAGATGAGTAAGGCATTGTTGCTTCAAAAAAGTAAATGATCACCTTAATAATTTTTCTAGTTTATTTACACGTGACCATATAATTAATAATTATTCAATCCTACAAAAAAGCTGTCTCCCATATAAAAAATATGAAAACAAAAGAATGTTATCTTTTAGATGAAATTAATCGACTCAATCATTATATTAATTATTTGGCCACTGAACTTGAAAGAGAGAAAAGGTTCTTCTATTGTATATTATATTATTATTGTTATAGATAATTATGATGACAATTTTCAGAGTTGACATTTATATTTATATGTTTATTAACCTTTCTTTACCTCTTTTTTACTTTGATAGAATGAATAATATATATCAACAGAAAGAAACACTTGACAAACTATATCAGATTGGATTGTAAGTCATTCATTAACTGTCTTGTTCATTCTCTCTCATTTGCACATTTTTTCACTATTTGTTCGTCCCATAATCAAAATTGATAATTAGTGAGATGATGATAACAATAATCAATATATATATATATGAGTATAAAAAAAAAAAAAAAAAAAAAAGAAAAAACAAACTTATCATTATTATTTCTTTTTCAATATCACTAATAATAATAATAATTGTAGATATTCGTATTATTATTTTCTTTTATTCATGAAACATTTCTTTTTTTAATTTGTTTTTTTCTTTCTCTTTCTTCTTTTTATGTATATAAATTCCAAGATCATGTGTCTTCTTCATTTTACATGAATATAAAATATAAATTATATATATGTATTGATTATTTACTTTGTTCAATGGAGAAAATCACATTTATTGTTATCTTTCTTGTAGTTTTTGACCAAATAACCATTTGTGTTATTTAACTTTTGAACTGTTAGTTAAAATAATTTCAAAAAAAATTTGAACCTGACATTAATTTGTATGCGCTCTAACCAAATTTAGAAATTATTCGCAAATATCAATTGCAGATCAGTCGATTTACTTTTGAATGATAAATACCCTTTCTAATGTAAATTTGTTACAAGTTTACATTTATTTATTATTTATTTATCCAATTAATCATTTATATTATCCTGATTTATGTTAAAAATAGAAACTAAATGTGAATTTGTTTTATCTGCATTAAAAAACGAACAAATGTCTAATGAATCTTGATCAAGTGCGAAAAGAGAATTTGAGTGAATATAAAGGGATGATGAATGCTAATACCAAAATAATATACTACTTCTTTTGGTTTAAATGCGCATACAAGTTACCTCTTATATATATATTAATGAATGACGAAATTGAGATATAAGGTGATGAATCAAGATTATCAATACAAAACCCTGTCAATTGATACATTGCAGAACCTTTTGCTATACATAGAATTCCATCAGTCCACTCAACCAAGTAATCATCCTTTTCTAATGGATGGAAACATTAGCACGGCCCATGTCAGTGACTAAAAAGAATATATTTATTAGTAAATAAATTTCAAAGTAAACATTAGATTAAATTATATATTTATTTAACTTTTGTTTTACCAGAATTGACTAAAATGATTGTATCTGATTATGCGCCTTCCAACATTGTGTGATAATCACACGAACTCGCCTGTTAAAATCTTGTTTTCCAAATAAAAATGTTATTTATATAGAAACTAGTGAAGATCTATATATGAAAATTCCTTTATGGTCTTTCAATTTTTGGACCTTTAGTAGTACACATATGTTCAGCTAATAAAAGTTATAGCGTTAGTTTCTATTATACTATAGTTCTTTAATATTTTTACATGTTCGATATTACAAATAGTATCAATTTTGACATCAATCAAGTTCTTCAAATTCTGCGAGGACAATCTACAACCACTAACCACAATATTGGAAACAACCAACGATCCAACAATATGATGTAACGTAATCATAACATTGACAAACACCTATAATTCGTATAAAAGATTGCCAGATAGTAACATGTTAGTTAAGAAGAATGCATCGATGACGTCGGCACGACTTTGTGAAATGTGTGAACGTTTAAATGATGGAGATCAGAGAATTAACGATCTTGATAAATTACTCTTTTCAGAATTGAAAACTAAAGATAATTTCTGTTTTATAAAGTTGCCATGAGAAACTTATTTGACAAAATTAATAATAATAATTTGATAACGATGAGAATAATAACGTTGTAAAAAATGATGTTGATAATAATGACAGTGATAAATACTGATAATAATAACATGGATGATACCATTGATGACTGTAATGCAGATTAAGAACTACGTTGAATATTTTTAAAATTTGGAAAAGATAAATAATAATATTTACTATATTTTTAATTAAAAATCTTTTAACTTTTCAATGCCCTAAAATAAGTGGATGAATTAATCAACCATTATAAAATTTTAATTATTCATTTAATTAATCTTCAATCAATCATTAAATTTCGATTTAATTGTTCAAATAAATAAATCTGATTTAAATTAAATTAAATGACTTACATTTTAAAAGGCCATATTTCATATTTCTCCCAAACTTTGCCAATAACATAAGGGTCAACTTTAACCAGATTTCTAACAAATTCTTCAGATTCAGCTTCATATATTATCAAGCTACCAACCATTTTACCACCTTTGCTTGCTTCTTCTTCTTCTTCTCCAGATAATATAGCACCACCCGCAACGACTATTCCTTGTTCTTTTAATTTTAATGCATTGTCAAGATGAGCTTTTCTAACTGATAATCTACGCGAGTAAGCTTGATTGTCTGTATAATCTGTTGCTAGTAAAACATATTGTTTGTTGACTTTTGTTGTTTTTATCAATGGCAATGGTTAATTGTTAAAGATATCAAAGCCAAAAAAAAATGTTATTTTAATATAATTGATGAAAACTCACCAATTTTACTAGTTGATAAATTTCTAAAAACTATTAAGAGTGTATATTTAAATATTTTCCAAAAAAAAAAAAAAATAAATAATATAATGTATTTTATATAAAACCTTTTCCTATTGTCGAGGGATACAGACTAATCTGTTTTCTTAGAAAATTTTTATTATTTAACGTATGAAAAAAACTCATTTTTAAAAAATCATTTTTTTGGTAAATTTTTCTTATAAAGGAATTTGCGTGCGAGACCAAATCTCGAAAGCTGATTGGTGGATTGGTAATGATTTACGAAGACTAATTAAAAATGTATATTAGCGAATAGTCAGTCCCTTATGGCACGCCTAAGGTTGCTTGCCGAAATCTCTTAATGACTGTCGAAACTATGCCGAAATTTTGCAAATTGCCAAAACTTCCAAATGCGAAAAAATGCGAAACTCTGCCGAAACAATTAGTGTGTAGCCTGCCGAAATTCTGCCAGTTGATTTCTGGAGGAGTTTTGGCAAGTAACCATAGGCATGCCAGTATGGTCAGCTGACAAGGACAAAGGTTTAAGGCCGAGGCTCAAACGCCTAAGGGTTCAGTCTTAAGGGTAAACCTCGAGTAAAAAAAAATTACATTTTTGGTATCGATATTTTTGTGTAGATTGAGAATATCTTTCTTCAAGTGCATGAGTTTTATCCTCAAGTGCATGGGTTTTATCCTCAAGTGACTTTGCTTCCACTGTAACAAGCTTTGGCTGTATTTAATGAATCGAAATTTATATATAATTAAAATTTTGGGGTGGGGTGTTTGTATATGAAATTCTGGTTGGCTAATTTGAACTTCACATACGTGAATTGCAAATTCACATAAATATTCCATTTTCACGCACAACAATAACAAAATTGATTGTTGCTTTATTTAGTCAAAGCTAATTTATTACAAAGTTATTTTTCAAGTATACAATTCAATTAATTAACGAATTAATACAACTCAACCAAATCTGTGCAACATACTTTATAACAATTTAGAAAAGATTGGCAATATTTTGGTGATATTTAGAAAGAATTGGCAACGATTCTATCTCTCTTTGGAAATTTCCGAAAGAAAAGGAAAATTTTCGTTTCACAAGATTGATTGTGTTGTATAAATCTTTTGATCATGATTATGATTATGATCACTCTCCCAAATTTTTTTTAAAATGTTCAGAGGTTGTATTTTTATAAGTAACAAGTAAACCTTATTACACTAAATCAGGAAGATCCAAATCCTCCCTATAGCTAATTGTGGCTTCATAGAA